TTTTATATTTTACGGATTGTGCATTACACCTGCACACGATTTATCCTTATCTTTGAGGTGTCTCTTTGTTCACTATTTTAATAATTTCGATCTGGAGAAAACAGTTTTCAGTCATACCTGAAGATGAAGGGTGAGATAAAGACGCTATCTGAAACTGTTCAGTGAACAGGATTGGCAAGCCTCATCAACCAAAACTGGTTAATGAGCAGCTCCCAGGGAATGCTTTTTACCCATCAGAGCACCAGGCAATTTCAGCTGGCAGGGCCTTTTGTGATTAATTGCTGCTGTTCATGAAATCTTTCGATCTTTTCAGTGCATTTTTGTGTGTGCCTGCATACTGACTTTCACTGCCCACAACATGAGAGAGATGTTCTCCCATTGTGGAAAAAAAAAACTTAGATCTTTTGATGTCAGGGCATTGTTGTTAATGTTTGAGCATAATAAAGAGTAAACTTTCACTTACTACTCCTGGAAAAATATCCACATTGACTGCTAGGAGAAGGACTTCTGCATTAATTTTTCCATATTTTCATACCTTTTGCTGGAAGACAGCTTTTCAGTGAGAGTTTTTTACTGAACTACTCCCAGGTAAGTAGTTGAACTGGTATACCAAATTCAGTTCACTAAAGAAATCTATTCTTTACAGATGCTTTTGGTTTCAGTTATAGAAGGAGCAGATTTTACTGTGTACTTGTATTAGAGTGATTTCTAATTAGCAGACTGCTTTTCTTTATTTTTTTTTGAGATGGTAACATCTGCTTTTTTCCAGCCCTGGCTTCATCTGTTTTGGTTGTTAGTGTAATGTTTACGATGCTTACGCTTTTTTTTCTTCTATTTCAAAGCACGAGTCTTCAACTTTTCTTTTTCTGGATTTCTTTCCAGGGTGATACTTCAGGCGATTACCGGAAAATCCTGCTTAAATTGTGTGGTGGAAATGACTAAATGGAGCATTGAGCTTTTCTTAAAAAGCTGCTATTTTCCTGGTTTTGCTTTAAAGCTTTTTTTCTCCAGAAGTAAATATGTAATGACCTGTTTTTCCTAAAGCAATTAAATTTTTAAAGATAATACTGCATATATCTACCTTTCAGTTCAAAACAGTAGGTAATAAATGACAAACAAATATAAATATCAAGCTTATGTGCCATCTGTTCAAGATTCTGTAGAGCACTCTTAGCAATCCATGAAAAACAGGTCATTATTTCTTTTCTGTTTATATTATGCTGAAGTAATATTTTTGTTTTATGGAAAAAAACCCCACAGTTGTATGATTTAAGGTTTTATTGTGTATAAACATTATGTGCCATTTTAATGCAAGTTTTATATATGTTGTATGCAGAGTTGGTTTTGTGCTAGCCTGCTCCCTGATACGTGGAGAGGACAGCCTTGAGGTTTTGTGTCTAGTTAAGACTGTTTTAAAGAAGTTTTGTCAAATTCTGTTTTCTTTCCTTGATTGTTTTTAATGAAGGTGTGTTTCACATTTCATTTGTACTAGGGCATCTGTCATAAGGCAGCAGTAATGTTGACAGTAGTAAAGATTCTATAGTTAATGTTCTAAAGTTTTGGATTGTTCCTTAAATATAGGTATGTAAGAAGACATTAAGAAATTAAAGCTATCTATCTTTTAACTTTTTGCAGACTCTGCTTTTTTGGTGTTCGTGTTGATTTACATGTGAGTGAAGACTCAGTTAATGTAACTTAGTTTTTCCATAGAAGTTCTCTGCTTGAATCCACAGAGTTACTTAGAAATAGTTGTGTTGACAAGAGCTTGGGACTCAGGTGCTGCTGATGAGCAATTGTCTGTACGTGATAGATGTAATCTGCAGTTACTGCTCAATATTTTCATTCTGCATGTTGTAATTTCTCTGACTCTTGGAACTCTTTTATTCTCTGCTAGCATGGATGACATCTCTTCAAATTGTTCTCAAAATAGAAACATGTATAGAAAAAAAGTACAAGGGAGAGAGAGGCTTGGATCTAGGTCAGTGAAAATAGACTGCTTGTTAATCAAGAATGTGCAAACTCCTCCTATTATTTCACGCGTGCACGCTCTCTCTCCATTCTGTAAAGGTCAGGCAGGTCCTTTTTCCTAGAAGAAGTTGTGTTGTGTTGTGTTTTGTCATGGAAGAAAATGGGGGTGTCACAGGCGTGGATGCTGAGATTGCTTCTGGATTGCATTATCACTGCAGGAAATGAGAAGAGTGTGAAGAAATCAGAATAAGGTTGTTGCACTTCCAAATTCTGACTAGGACGTGCAGGTAAGGCTCCTGTTTCCATCAGTGGTGGCAATGTGACTATGTCCGAAGCCACACTACTCCATACACTCATTTTTGTCTAACAATCTAAGCATATCTTGAGAGGAGATTGCAGCTGAAAGTGTGTCTTCATTGATTTACACCAATAGCAAGGGTTCACTTCTTTGCCAGGTAAGGAGTAAGCTTTTGAATTAAGGGAAGCTTTTTAGCTGTGCTAACCTCACCTGATCTTGTTTTCTTACTGAGAGGGCCATATTTGAAATGCAGTTTTGATTAATTAGGGGTGCTGAAAGATATAGTGTCTAAAAGCAAATACCTTTTTATTATAAAGCACAGGAACGCAGAAGGCAAACTACAGCTGAGGATTGTTCACACATCCTCAAATTCAGGAAACACAAGCTTATTAAATGAACAAAAGTGCAACTGTTGATGACAACCATACTGTTACATTCAGCTGTCTTCGCAGTGCTCAACTGGTATCTGTATAGAGAAGAGTTGATGTCATTATTTTTGGTTATAGGATCAGGATCAATCTTTGTAGATAAACATAGTTTAAAACATCAATCTTTTAAAAACATGCTACTTTAAAGTGGGGAGTTGTCACTTTGATTCAGCAAATCACAAAAGGAAGGTCCTAGAGCTCTGCAATTCTTGAGCCATTTGGCTGTTCTTGCAAGCTCCATCTGAGTGGTACTTACTATAGATGTGCTGCAAATATGCTGAGTTTGACTTAGAATTTCCATTTTAAATTCACTGTAACACTTTACTAGAATACTTGCATTTATTAAATAAATTATTGGTGCAGGGGAGTAACTTAATTGTTACCTAATAACTGCCCCTCACAGAAAATTGGAAATATTAATGAATTACAAAGTTGGTGAGGACATATCAGTCATGGTGACCAGATCTATACAGCCAACTGCAAGAACTAAAAACCATCATAAACTTTACTGCTGTCTACTTCAAGCCCACTTTCTGTCACGTAAGTGCACTATACTATGTATGCGTGTGTGTATGCATGCAAACAAACAAGAAAACCAACACTGACAAAACTCACTTCATAAGCATGTCTGTGGATGCTCATACCTTTCCACAAGAAGTTTATTTTCCACTAGGAGTGTCTCTCACCTTGTTAAATGGACTATTGATATTTGGGCAGAGAATGAAGAGGACAGAGCATGATAAGAAGCTGCGTAGAATAGGTGATCTCATCAAAATAATTTCTGTTGCGATTTAATTTATTCCTGAAACGTTTATCCAGGAGCGCATTTTGTGTGAGGGGCTTGTATGTCAAAATTGGATTTAAGATATCAAAATAGTAGTAATTCCCGTAACAACTTCTGTGGTTTTTTGCCCTCTTTGTTCCGTGTGTGACAAAGAGGCCTTGAGACTACTTAGTCTATCCTGCTGTTCTAAGATGTGATGCTTGTTTAACATTTGCAGTGCTGGGGAAACCACAGTCCTATCATTTCCATGGTGCACTGTCCTTGTAAGAAAGCTTTTTGCTTGAGTCTATCTTGCTGCATTATTTCTTCTTTCATTCACTTTTGCAAGGGGGAAGAAAAGACGACTTTCATCTTTGTGGCAGCCTTACTTGTTCTGATGGGCTACTTTGATGTTCTTTAGACTAAACATCCCCAATTTAACAACTTTTCTGTGTAGGTCATGTATCTGGCTCCTTGGCTGGGGTTTTGTTTGTTTGGTGAGCTTTTTTTACGTTTTCTTCCCTGCCTCTTTTTAGTTGTTGTTGAAACATGATGTTCAAAACCGGACTCAGTGTTTCAGCTGAGGTCTTAGCTGCACTGAATTGAATGAAGAAATGACTTCACACCTTGGGGGAAGAAAAGATGGCATGTTTGATAATAACATGCACCACTGTTTTCAACTTATGTTATATCCCACTAGATACTTACCATCAAAAATGTCTATAAGTGGGGCTCCTGGAGCGATGGGGATATTTGAAGTTGTCTCATTGATGATGTTGAGGAGTGACTTGACTTCTGATTCTAGATGCTCTACTGTTTTTATTACCTTCTAATGAAAACAAGGGAGACAAATAGAGAAAGGGGGTAGTCAAAGGGTCGAGTGGAAGGAATTGTACCAAATGTGTTAGTGGAAGTGCAAATCTAATGTCCCATAATGCTAACAGCTAATTTAATTTTTATTGTACAGTGCAGATTTAAATATTTGTTGTGTCGTGCTGGCCTCTAGTGGCACAAAGTATTAAAACTTTGTTTCTCGAGAGTTTAATTGCAGCACCTCTGTAAAAAGAATCACACATAATTTGACTTTTTGGAGCGAGCTTTGCATTAATTTGTTTTTAATTCATTCTCATTTCTGAGCTACCATCATATCCAAGAAAAGAATCTGCAGGGAAGATGGGAGGAGCTGATGGGGTGGAAAGAGGAGGGCTGGAACTAGAGCAGGAGAGAGGTAATGTTGCTGTTTGAGAACCAATAGCATGTGGTTTGGCAGCTGCCCAGCTGGAAATAGTTAGCACTGGACACCTGTCTTGCGAGTGCTTAAGACACCAGGGAAAAAACTTAAAACTTTGCAGCTTTCCTAGGATCCTAGTCATAGAGTTCATTTAGCTCTTGAGTGTCTGCAGGAGCGAGCAGAAACTTCTCCATCAGCCTTGGAGTCACCCACAGAATTCACAGCTAGCCATGAGCAGTGTGAACTTTACGAGTATCGCTTCTGAGATTGTTATGTTAAAGGCACAGTTATGAACATTTTAGGAAAGGCTCATATGTAATACTCAGTGATTGGTTAATCAGTTGTTTGGAATTTATCAAGATTATATGTTTCTGGTAATAATAGCTTTATGGATAGTTACAAACCATGACATCTGAAAAAAATTGTCAGACCTTGAACAAAATAATATCAAGAAGGATCAATGTCTAGAAGCATCATTCTTCATTCTTTTCTTTGGTCTAAAGGATTTGGCAGAGATCTGGTAAGGTCCAGGAGCCAGCGCAATAACTCTTACCTCTTCAATAATATCTAAGCGTTCGTGGATCTTATCATGTTCATCACACCAGCTTCCTCTTCCTAAACTTCCAGGTAACACACTGACAGGGTCCGCAGCAGCTGGAAAAATAGCCATGGTTAATTAGCAGGAGCTTTTTAATAGCAGTCCTTAACTTTATGACTTCCAAAGTGGTATTTTACATGCTAAACAGCATTGTTTATTAAACGAGTGTAGGAGTCCCACATAGAAATTTGAACCTCTCTCTAAATAACTACAGCTATACCCCAGTGCTGTGAATGTCTCCTCCCCTCTACACATGGTCAAGGTTGGTTGGAACAAAATGTTTTCTCATTCCAGGGTGGTTTATTTGTTTTGTTTGTGTGTGTTTGTTTTACAAAATCTGTTTTTTCCTACCTGTGTAGGGTGAATATTTATAGACTGTAACTCTGTCTCTACAAGTATAAAACCTAAGCACTGGGAAGATCTACTTTATGCATCAGTTCCTCTTAGACTTTCTTTAGAAGCAGCTGTTACAGTAAAGCTTTGACAAGCAGCTAAGTTAGTCTACTTAAGCGCCAAATTGGATACAAACTAATGATTCCACTGTGCCAGAAACTCATCCATAGCAGTCTGATTTTGCAATGGGAAGGGAAACAATAAACGTATGTACTGCTGATGCCATTTGCTGACCAAGTCACTCATATATGGTGCTATATACAAAGTTGCTTATCTCTGTCAGTTATCTGTATTCACTTCTCAGTACTCATGAGCTCTTGCTCTTTGAACATTTCATTCTGCTGGCTCTACTCCATGAAAGGTCAGTACCTGCTGGTGTCCATGCTTTAACAGAGCCAGTTTCCTTTACATGACTTTTGTGCAACATTCAGTAACAGTTAGGTTTTAATATGTGTGCATAGAACTGTAGCAGAGTATTTTAAACCCCATTAAAGTGATAACATATCTTGCTCCATGTTGGTAAAGTTAGGTCTTGTTCTTGTTTGAGGCTTGAAGAGGCTATGGTAATGAGAAACCAGCAGTAACTCATTCTGTTGTTTGGTTGTAACGACAGAGGAAACTGAGCTTGTGTTACAATGAACAGTAAGAAACGTAAAAGCAACTATTTCTGTCTTCAGTACTGTTGTGTGACAGCAGTGATTTGGAACTGCTGCAGTGCTTCGTTGTAAGTCTGTGCCAAGATTTCTGGAGTGCAGGTATCAGATGGTAGCAAACACAAGCCAAGTAAGGATTGTCGCCATTGCAGTTTGGTGGGATGAGAGATGTGCTCTGACTTGGGATGGTATCCTTGAAATTGGAGGATGGAGGGCAGGGAGGAGGAGAAGATTAAAATGTGATCTGATGTACTAGGCATGATGTTATTTAGAAATCGGTTTGGCAGAGCTTAAGAGAGAATTTTTAGTTTATTTGTAACAGGATATTGATTAGGGTTGGGTTTTTTTTGCATTGACCAGGAGGTGGTGCTGTTAGGACAGAATCCCAAATAATTAATCTGCCTGTTTACAGAAGACTGCTGAAATATTCACGTATTTGAACACTAGCTGCTTTGCAGTTGCCCCTTTTTTTCCCCTTTGTTGCTGCTGTTGGTGTTTTGGGAATGTCGTTACCTTGTACTTAGTGGTCAAGTGAACCATGCTACTTCTCAAAATTTTTGCTTATTTACGTTTTTTTACCGCCATGACTGGAACAATATGGAGATACTGAAGTTCTGTGTCAGAAGTGGAGGTTACAATGCAGTGGCCAGTTTTTCTCTACAAAACTTCTCTTTCCTAATGATAGGATAATAGCAAGGTAATCTCCATTTTACTGTTAGAGGTTAATAAAATTTCCACCTCTCCGGTATTCCTAACTCCAGCTCTCTGTGTCAAGCCTGACGACCCAATTCAGCTGTATGCTGAACTGCATATGTAATATGTGGGCGATTGCTGCTGCTGGCTGGGCAGCCTGTGCTTTGGTCAGCGTAGTTCTCATCTGTTTTCTGAGCATTGGCTTGAGGCTTTGGCTACTGGAAACCCTGATGGTTGTTTTGTTGTCTGGCTTTTAGCTCTTAACCCACAGCCTTTATCTCTGGGATGGGCTGTTCACAGGACGCATCCGGTCCCTTGTAAACACAGCACGTATCTGAGTCACTGTGGTCAGACAATTCAGCTGAAGCAATAATTTCTGTGTGCTCAAAGAGAATCCCATGCTGCTTATGAGCGCTGTCCTTCTCTGTATTGCAGATGGTGAAAGAAAATGACACAGTCTGCCTTTGGCACTGACCTGCTCCAGCAGCATCTCTACCTCATGTAATAGCAGTCTCTCTAAAGGGTGTGAAGAATGGAAGGCTTTGAGCCATGTAAGCAAAAGACTAATGGCCTTGTAGGATACTTCCTTGTACTTGCTCTCTTGTCACTGGAGAAACATTTTAAAAATGTAAATTAAAATTTTTACTTGCCTACGTGTCAAAGCACATGCATAGATGGGGGAAACTTTGATAGTAAATTTTAAAGCTATCAGCTTTCAAAAGTAAACTGTTCTTTGTACGCTGTATAAATGATGTATTTAAAACGTGTGAGTATTTGCGACTTCTGACAGCTTAAGCAAGTATGTAGGAGGTACATTTTGATGTCTTGAATACCTCGTCTGAAACTTAATTGATTACTTCAGGCAGATATTTGTGGTAATGTTTCAATATGGCAGAGAGAGCATCACCTTTCAGTTAATTTCCCATCTGCAAATTCCCAGCTGATGCTTCCTGCAAGTGAGATGCTTAGTTCAATTCGTGAAGTCCGTTCTACTTGATATATAGGTGGTTATTTTCCATCAAGAATCAGAACTCTCCTGATCAAACCTCCCCTGCCTGTGTTCCGCTAAGTCCTCTGTGCTGCGTGCATGGTGCCCATAAAGCTAGGTAGTTCTAACTTCCCTGTGCTGTCATACAGACAGACACCAGCAGATGGAGCAGGAAAACAGAGACTCGGAGTTGGTTGCTAGTTAGAATATGTTTTATAGAAGAATATGCTTAATGTTTGAAAGAAGCAGCGTGATGAAGAGTAAAGACCTCTGTATCATGGTCAGCCTGACTGTGCAAAACTTGGTCATAATTATAGCAGGGGATAGAAAGAGCAATGAAGTAGGAATTAAGACAACCTTAGCAAACAGTTAAGGGCAAAGGCCTTAGTTTTAGAATACCTCTTGGTTAAGCTCCTCTGCCTCCTGTATGTTTAATATATTCACCCAACCTCCCAATATGTTGCTTTAACACACTACCTGAAGAAGTCCTTTTCTAGGACCATCAGGATTCTGTCTTCCCAGTTGTTGTTGAACAGTTCATTTTGATCATCCAAATAGTTGCTAATGTTACGCATCAGAATAAACCTGAGCAACTGTTTCTTCACTGTCATTTGCTGCGGTTACCAAGACTGACAGAACTGAAGTACACAGTCACACAGATCTGGTAGGTCTTTATAAGTATCCTTCCTAAAGATGCATTGCTGGTCAAACTGAAGTTACAGGCTTTATACAGAAATTACTGGGTTGGGTTCTTTGGTCTGGGTTATGGAAAAGTCAAGATGAGTAACCATAATGTTCCCTGTTGGTCTTAAAGTCTGTAAAATTCCTTTTGCATCATTCTATGACCAGTGTGGTTTTGAAAGTTAACCGAGTGTTCACGTTGAGCTCAGTAGGGAGGGAGGAGTAAAACAAAGCAGGCCACAAGCCAAATGAAAGACAAGTGAGACTGAAACAGGATCCAGATGGCAAATAAGGAAGCCTGAGATCATGTGATAGACCAAGGGGAATAAAGGAGAACATATATAACTTTTAAAGAAAACATACTATGCTGTGTGTTCTTGTTTGCACTGCCTTAGGTTTAGCAGTATGATTTTATTCCTGGAGCATATAGTATAAGGTGGCCAGATAGATTTTGATGAGAAAATGAAGGGGGTAGCAATGGATTTATGCTCCAATAGGAAAATGGTAATGAACTTGAATATTAAGTTCAAATGGTGAACTCCCTAACCAGTTTAGGACGAATGCAACAGACCTATTAAGGGATTTGCTAATCCTTGCTTAAATTATTCCTTGTCTAAACATAAGTGTTGGACTCCACTTTAACTTGTGTATATAACTTTGAAGTGTTAGCTCAAGAAATTACATGGTTTACAAAGGTGGTTGGTGAAGTTAACTTGCAGCTGAATACAGGAGAGATTCAGTTACTTTGAACCTGAATTGATACTGTCACTATTAGTGCTTTCTGACCTAAGACGATGTTAAGCCAAGACTGTTAGTTGTACTCAGTTTTGGAGGCTGTTCTTAAAGGCATCAAATTTAGTTTCCAGTTATGTCAACCCTTAATTACATGAGCATCCTTAAATATGGAAGTACTGGATAAATTTTCTGTACCACCACTGGTTTCATTATCACCACTGTGCCCAAATTCACTTTAAGCTGTATTATATATAACTTAATCCATATTAAATTTTATTGTTAGGACGCCAAAGATAAATTATTTCAATAGAACATGTTGTATTGGAAATGCTTTTTAATGCTCAGGTTGTCTTCAAATTCTTGCATGCTCAGGAGCATATGTTTAACTGGACATAGAGCATCTTCCAGACTGTAGTCCATGAAACTCTGTCTAATGCTTAGCTGTGATTTAGGCACCTCTGAACCTCTTTCTAGAGTTTAGAGTTTCTAGTTGCTTAAAGATAAGGGAATTCTTGCCTTTAGTGATTGCAATGAAGACTGCAGAAATTGTAATAAATATGTAAAATTTCTTAGCTTCTTGTATACTGTCATAGGCTACTACGCTTTACAATGGAGGCAACTGCAGGGGTTTGCTTATGTGTACATGCAAATATCTATATACATACAAATGTAAAAATATATATATATGTACACACACCTTTATTAGACTCTGGCTTTTATGGCAGAATTACATTTCAAATGCCGTATAGGACAAATGTAGAATATCCAAAGTGAGAGACTGCAGGTAGATAGAGAATTGACAGTAGAAAGCTTTTCTGGAATTTAGGGGGCAGGGCAGGGCAGGTTTGGTTTGGTGTGATTTTTTTTTTTTTTTTTTTTTTTAAATCATTTCAAGAAGGTACATTGAAAGTTTTTAATGCCTGTTTAGGGATTAATCTGTAATCTATACATTCACTGTATGCTTCAACTGCTACCTGAATGCCAAGCCTTGGAAAGATTTCAAACATGGAACAAAATCCAAGGGATTCCTCTGGTATCCAAGATTCATGATCCCCTGATAGTGACAGAAACATTCTTAAATAACTTTCTTTCATGAAATTGATTATTTTTAATATCCATTTTAGAAGCGAAGTAGCCATATCAGAAAGTCAAGTTCCAAACATGCAGACCTGGCTCATGCTCTGTTTATCAAGATGTAGAATATGCTACTATGAATATTATTCCAGATCTTAGATCAGTTAAGATTGAATTTTAATTCTTTTTTTCCCTGAAAGAGAAGGACTAAAGAAGAAATTTTGTGTGTTTTGCAATGTATTGCATTAGTGAAGGTGGATCAGGGTATCAGCCTACCAGTTCTCGCTTCTCTAATTTGTCTGTCCCATCAATCTACATGTGAGGTGCCATGTTGTCGTGTGTTCTGGCCCTAATGTGCCTCACTTGTGCTTGTGAAATATGCAAAATCAGAAATGGGGCCAGGGATAGTTTGTGCTGCCAGCGGGCACTCTTTTTTTTTTAGGCACAGCAAAATCTGGGACCCTTGCCATGGCTGGCTGCCAGAAGCAAAATTGCTACTTGAAAAACCACTTCTCTTCTTCTGTTGTGTTACCATATTTGTGATGGTAAGAAGCACTTAAGTTTCGTATATTTTCATCCAAAGGAAAGAGGATAACAATAAAATGTTCCTGTGAAGGAATTGTTGACTTGGAATATGTTTCCAGCGTGATGGTCTTCTCAGCAAGCAGCCAAGGAATATCCTCTTGTGCTCGCTGCTGCAATTGAAGATGGCTACAGGGAATTAGACTGATAAGAGATGTGAGCTACATAATTTGCAGGTAGGTTACTCTAATTCATACTGTGTGTTATGATGGGATACTCTGATGCTTTGGGCTGCAAACAGAAGTTTCCATTTATTTCTATGTAAATATATGTTTGGTTTGGAAACTAAGGCAAAGTGTTAGAAGGATTATATCTAGTAGTTGTATAGGAGATATTTGAGTGTGGAGAAGAGGATGAACAGTTTTAGGATGAGTAGTCATGTAGCATAGGTAAAGAATGTAAATTATACAGAATGAGTGAGTTTAAGGCTGATTTGAGAATGGAGGAGGTGACATACATGACTATTTGATGCCACCATCAATTTGAAGATGACACTGGTGTCTGGAGATAGAGTTTTTCAGTTTTATGAGGACATGGCTTTTGGTCTGTGTTTTAGTAATAGGAGCTATGGTCATGGGGAGTGGGTGAAGTGAGTCTGTGACTTATTAGTCAGCTCTGTGGTTGTGTAGTTTGCAAATGAGTAAGTTATGGTAGTAGAAAGATGGTAGTACATTGAAAGAAGATTCTTGTAGTTTTGTTCTAATACTTAAACAAATCCAAGAATTTGCTTGAAAATATGTTTTCCTCTGGCAGAGAGTTCATATGTACTGCAACAGCTCAGGAAGTAGAATAGTGATATATATACACAAACATAAGTATGTACGCACGTATACATGTACACACACACGTACTAGATCCCAACATTGACCGGCAAGATTCACAACTGCTTCTACCAGAGCAGATCAACTGGATTTACAAATACTGCTGCATCCTGCAGATGAACAGCAGGAGTCCAATATTTCTAGACCCCAGACTTTTTTGAAGCTTGATATTAACCTTTGCTTTACATGTGGAGGTTACAAAGTCCACAGAACTTAATAAATTCCCCTTAACTAAATATAACAAAACTTAGGGATTTACAGATATATAAATCTGTAAAAAAAGGCTCGGTTCTGTACAGAACCCCTGTCTTCAGATGCCTCGTAGTCTTAAGAAACACACCTACAACTGGGTAACACCTTGTTGTGACAAACTCTTTCTCCTTCCTGTTGGAGCTCAGAGATGAATGTTTCCAAAGGCTGTGATCCTTGCATTGGAGACAATAATGCCAGTAGGTTTTTATAAGGACAGAAAATACCTGTGACACTGGGATATAGCTTAAACCACTACTGGTTTATTAGTAGAGAAATACGAGTCCCACTCTGGTTTAAGATGGGACCTCTCTCATCGTTTTTACTGGGGATTTAATTTTACAATGCAGTAGTTTAATCTCCTGGAGGCAAAACACTGTTCTGTGAGAATGCAACTGGTCAATCCGGGGCAAAAGTAGGCCGTTAGGCAATGGTCTAGCTCCAACTGCTGAGTATCTCCTTTATAATAGCCCCTTTCACTCCAAAACCTTATAGGTCTTCCCAGCTTTGATATTGTATATGGATATCAGAGGATCCAAAATATTCTGAGAAGTTGTAATATGTTAGCTGAATGAAGAGTGAACATTGATGATTTACTTATAATTAAAACCAAATGAAACTTCTGTTGCTAAAAAAAAAAAAAAACACCAAAAAAAAAACCACAAATCATGCCACAGTGTGAAGTATTGATCAGCAAAGACTTCGCTGTTGGGGTGCTGCACCCCTCGGAACAATTTCCCCAGAGGTTTTGTAAGAATGGAGACATATTTAAATGAGGCAGGTGTTGAATGCTCCAGTGCCCCAGGCTACGTTGTATGCTACATTTGAGCAGCACTCCACAAACTAACCCAGCAACAACAGCGAAGGACTAGAAACTGCGACCATTAGACAGGAGCACGGGGTTGCATCCGGAAGGGTTCCCGTGCCAGCCTGTCCTCCTGAGCTGTCTGAAGGCTGAGCACCATGAGTATGAGCTTATATCCATTAATGACTGAAATAAGGCATAAATTCTACTTTGGCCAACCTTGAACTATTTTTAAGAAAAACCCATGGAGGTTAAGGGGGAGAATCTGTAATTAAATGGAACATTAGATTCCCTGACTCAAAGGTAGCAAAGGGAAAGTGGAGACAACCTTTTTAAGCCTGTCTGCCAGCCATGGTACTCCCCTGGCTGTGTTGGACACAAGCTTTCCCATCTCACATGAAGTACTCCATGGAGACAGTGAAAATGAGTCCTTGATGGAGCACTACCACCTGGCATGATACCAGGTACTAATCCCTGCTGCAGCTGTTGTTCAAGTAATATTCTGTTTGGCTGGATTTTATCTGAGTTTGCTAATAATTTCAGCTTAAACAAAACCGTATTTCTGGAGGAATAAACAAAAACATTCTTCCAGCCTTTTTTTTTTTTTAATCCCTTTTATTTCACAAGATTTTTGTGAAGCTCACAAAACTCACAAGAGGATATTGAGTACTTGTGGAGTGAAAACAAGTTAGAGCGCCCTTGTTGGGATATTGATATTTCAATTCATCACTGATAAACATTACAAAGCCGGTTGTGTGGGAGGGAGATGGGGCAAGGAAGAGTGAGTAGGACTTGGGGGCAGAAGGGACTAACAGTTTTTCAGGAAATGTTTTGATTGTAATGGAAACTTACTACTTTGCCATGAAATACAAACACTGTGTGTTGTCAAGAAGTAAGAGCAGAGGGAAAATAAAGCTGGGCCTCATCTAGCAGAAAACACGTAATACAAACAGGCTGGGAAGCCAGGTTTGTGGTTGCATGGGGACTATAAACTCTTGAACTGGCCAAGCTGAATAGCTTTCGATCCCACTGCTGGCTACGATGTGACTGCAGGTTAGCTGAGCACTAATGTGCTGTTAATGAAAGTAAAATTCAGATGCCATCTTATCAGATGCTGTGTGTTTATACTTGACACTCCCATGGCATTTGGAAAAGGAGTTATGTGCCTCAAAATCTCAGGAATGAATCATGCAAAGCAGAAGAGAAAAAAATACAGTGCTGTTAGCAGCAAATCTCAAAAGAAGGGCTTGAATAAAGGAAAACCTTTCTTTATTCACGGTGAACTTCTATCTCATTTCTGAGCAGATTAATGCATATGTTATTAAGGCTGTCAGAACAGTAATTCTGGAAATGCAGGGCACTGGCTGGAGCATCTGAATGCAGTTCTAAATTTCTGAAGATGCAAAGATAGCACCTCCCGCGAGAAGTGAAAAATATTTACCAAAGTGATATGCCTCCAGAATGGAGGTTAATAGCACAAAAATGAAGTTTTTCCTGTTAAAAACAATACTGCCACAGAATTTTGAGATGTATCTGTGTCCCCTTCATATTAAACCCATAGGGTTCTTTACCTCCTTCTCCCACCCCATGCTATGGTTAAGCTACAGTGTCTACTTTGCAAGCTTGGAATCACTTACCTTGAAGATCTCGTTGCTGAAGGATTAAAATAAACGCCAGCGCCCAAAGGAAAAGCATGGTTTCAGCCTCTCCAAGCTCTGCCGTAGTCCTGGTGCAGAGCCCCGCAGCCTCCCTCCCCGGCTTTGCATCGACTCCTCCGTCCAGCAGTTAGTGCTGAGGTTTAGCCAGAGTTGGGAGGAAATATGCCCGGGCTGAGCCAAGATTCTTGAGCTGTTCTCTTCTGCTTCCCTCCTTTTAAAAAACACCCTTCCAGCTCCACGCAAAGCCCCAGTTACCCAGGCAAGCTGGCAATGGTCCAAGCTCCCCAAAGGTTTTCTTTACCCATATATTTATTTACACAGTCTACAACCAGGATGTGCTGAAGAGCCCTGAATCCTGTAAATATGGCAAGTGGGGCAAGAAAAGGAAGGGAGAGAGGAGGAGGAAGGGGTGCTGGATGTTTCTTTCCCTGTAGGGTTTCATCTAGGGCGGGGAAAGCAGAAACACTGGAAAACACAGGATCTTTAGATGTTGGGACCTTACAGGGCTTTTTCCATTATTTACTCATTTTTAAGACTGCAGAAAAAACTTTTTTGGGCAAGTTGAAGTCCCACTGGACAAGGTATCTCCTTCCTGGTATTGTTCCTCATGTTCATTTGAGTTGAGTTTCAAACTACTGCAAGTAAAAAGTGAAAGGCCATTAAGGTGTCCTACTTAATCCTAAAGGCCATTGTGCAGGAAAAACAGTGTTCTGAGTACTGAAAATAAAAACCTGCAAACTAGAACAGATTTCCTTAGTCTTCACCACCTCTCTGGCAGTCAGAAAAATGAAGTTATTTGAATAACATACCTGAAAGTGAGTCTGTAGAGGTGCTATCAGAGAGTTCAAAGTACAATTATCCTCAGTGACTTCCAAATCAGGTTATATCGTAAGCTCAAATACAAGGTAAAGTAGCCTCAGTAATAAAGATTCTGTGTTTAGAACATTGCTGGTAACTTTGAGGCACTGAGAAAAACAGGGCACAGAAAAACCTCCATGTGTATTGAGCCCTCAGGGCTGGTGCTAGTAAGTTAACGTTTTTATGAAACAAAAATGAACTTGGCTATGAGAATTAGAGTGGCAGTGTTTTTCTGGGTGTTTTGGCTTAAATTGCTACGTAGCAATACTGCAATTTCTACAAATTCTTGTTTTGAGAACAAATCTGATCTTTCTTACTGAGAAGTTACATACTTTTAAATTTTGTTATAAACAGGCCTTTAGAGAGGAACTGTGGCAGGTAACAGCGAGTCCACTGTGTTATTGCGTTTGAATAGGAGATGTTGACGTGGTAGGCTATGATTTTTGAAGTGAGAGATTAATCTGCGTGTTGTCTGTGCTTTGGAGAGAGGAGACTGAGGGGCAGAAGACGAATATTTAGGAATAATTGGCTGCTGTTTTCTGAATGTGTTTGTCCTTTGACTTTGTCCTTTCTTAAGCAGAATCTTCCAAAGCATTCTCTGTATTGCAAAGGGAGCCTGTTCGTGGGTGCCTTTCTGCATGCTCTCTGTCACTCTCTACACCATATTATTAAAGAGCACCGAACATTCATGGAATTAGTTTCCCCTTCCACACACTATAAAAAATAATGTGATTTCCATTCCAGACCACCCCTGCTGAGGTCACTCACCCCCTTTACAGCACATTTCCTTGAGGCTCCTCCTGAATTGCTCTCAGGCTCCTGGAACAGTTCGGTCCTTCCAAAGCGCTCGCTTCTTGTTTTTACGTTTTGTGTTATGTTTGACCATAGTGAGGTGCTGGTCTGATAGCCACAGGAGACTAAGCAAAATAGTACAGTTTTGGTCTAGTATCATACTCCAGAGGTTGTTTCTGTAGTGAGGGAGAAGCTCTTTCCACTGCAGGGAAATGCAGCCAGAAAAAATACTTCTGCCAAGCGGGGTTCTGCTTTTCAGTAGGACGACCTGTCCTGAGAATTTTGGTGATCTTGGTTAATTACCTAAGATGACTTTTGTTATTCATAAATACTCAGAATGAACCTACAGTTGAAGACAACTTAATGAGCAACACGAAGTACAAAAAAATCTGAGATGTTTGACAGAAATCATTAAATTGTAGAGTAGATTTTTCAGCGCAAGATAGAAGATTTGAGAGCAGCAGAAAGAATATGACACAAACTATTTGTCTTCTGAAAAGTTAGTAACTGATTACCATCAGAGAAAGCATTCTTCAATGCATTCATCTTGGAAATGTCCATATATGAGAACATAATGAAATCAAATGAATATAGGTTTGCATGAAATCCAGCTGTTGAGATGTTCCCAAGATACCAGCAGCCAAAAAAAGCATACCAGTGAACAGGGATGTGAATTTTTGCCAGCAGGCAGTCTGGTGAAAGGGAGAGCAAACACAAGGATTAAGTCTATTTTGGGAGTGGTTTTTTCTTTTTGTACAGTCTTTCTGTATCTTTTTCTTGGACTAGTCAAATGCTTGGCAAAAGCAATAAATAAGTGCACAGTGATCCCACTGAGTGCATAGGGAGAAGGAACAGAATAAACAAGGGGCATGTGTCAGCAGAGGATGTATGTGCCATGTGAAAAAGATCAAATCGTTATTGGGCACGAAATCCTGCAGCATATAGGCTGAGAGAGGATATAATTGAGCACACACTTGGTGAAAACTGGAGTGCACTGTACTCCAGTCCCCCGGGACTTCAAGAGAGATAGAGAGAAAATTAAGTGGAGATTACTTCAGGGAACAAAAACACGGTAGAAAACTCATCCTTGTAGGGAGAGTAAAGCGCCTTACAGTGAAGAGAAGATGAAAGAGAATAATCTCTGTCCTGGATTTAACACTGGTGGATGATGAAATCAGTGTAAGGTTTGTGTGTCCTGCCTACCTGCCCCTGGGAGAAGATTTGTGTCCATTGGTGACTGTGGAGATTCCTTGGGCTCTCGTCACAAGCTTAATATCTGCAAACTGCTCATGACCAGAAGGTCTTGCTACTTGGAGGCTATTGAACACCTTATGTAAAAGGAGGCTTGGTTCATGATCCATTTAGAAAAGGTCAATTTTTTTCACCCTCTTAGTTTACTCCGTTTCTGACTGCTGCGTTGAAAAAGGAGTTGGATAGATGTGGAAGCAGAATTTTGTTACACGGAGAGGTTGATTTCCACCGAACAGGTATGCAGCTTGTGGACTGCTTCGAAGGGAAGCAGAAGCTTGCTCCGCAATGAGCACATGTGCTTGGTGAACAGATGAGAGGCCTCTTGCAGTGGTGATTTCACCAGAATGAAGTAGGCATTGCCATTTAAAGCTTTTGATAGTAGTGGCTCTTAGCATCACATCCCTGACAGTCTCCATGAGCCTCCATGTCTCTGTTGTTCACGGGGCAGCCTTGGTTGGTGTTACAGGTCTTGTGGGTTGCAGCCTTCACTGTGTGAACACCTTCAGGTTCTGTGCCAGTGGGATCCTCTCTCCAGTCTGTTATATATCAACTTGTACTAGTGTTTATTATGTTGATTCGCAAGGGACTTCAAAAAGTGTGAAGTTCTCCTGCTATTGTCATAAAGGCAAAATCTTTGACACTGTTAAAAAAAAAAAAAAAGATTGATGGTATGAGATACTGTCAAGATCAGCTCTGTCTCCGATTGTACCCTCCCTGGAGAAGTTAACAAACTATGTGTCACGGATCTCACAACTCCAATCCAGCCTTCTTCCAAAACAATACATTTTGTCCTATGCCGAAAGCCAACAGTGAGTCAGCTACAGGAATTGACTCTCCTGTGTCATCTTCATGCCAACACACTGGGCAGGATTCTGTTTGCCAGCATTAGGTAAGCATGTGATGGCTTCAGGCTGCTTTGCATCTGTGGCTTCAGCTTCCTGAGCAATCATCTGCAAGGAAACTGAATCAGAAAGCTGAAGGAAAAGGTGGGTCACATGGAATATGAGTGAATGATGTCATTTGTTTTGTATTTTTAACTAGTTGTTGGATCCTTTCATTTGACAGATTTCATGTATTTTATGAAGCCTGGCCATGCCTCAGGAACCCCTATGAGATACGTACGGTATGCGGTCTGCCTGCCCATTTTATAGAAAGGAAAACTTTGTCCGAACAAAGTTGGATTAACTATATTTCCATCTAAATTAGCAACTTGGGAATAGACTCTTGACTCCCAGTCTTGTATTGCACACATGGTGATCTGATACGTACTGTATTTTCTATTACAGAAGGCTGCGTCCCTTTGCTGTTGTAACTTTACGTCCACCCGTTTGAGTCACATAAAAATGTGAAATAAATCTGTGAGTCCATGGCAGATAATATTCCAGAAAATAATACTCATGGAGGAAGTACTTTATTATTCCCAAATTAGAATTACTCAGCTAGTGTGTTTAGCAGGTCAATATTGCAAACCACACCAGTTAAATGAGATAATTACTTGAAACTGGACCAACCTTTTCCTTCTGTGAAGGAGCAGCTAATACCTGAGAAGCTATTCATCAGTTGAATAGCACCTTGCTGAGCAGGAGTCATGACAAACAGCAGCAAAGCAGAGGTCTGTGTTACTTGACGTCTGTGTATCTTTCTCCTTTAGACAATGCATCAGCCTTGCATATGAAGCTTTTGAATATAGGTAATGTTGACCATATGAGGGACTTGTGAAGGGGAGATAGCTAATGAAACAGAGAAACAGCTGGAAATAAATCTCAGTTTGTATTACTAGTCAGCCTATTCTCCTTTCCTCTTAATTACCACGAGGTCACAGACAGATGCAAGGGAAAGAATGACTTGCCAGAGAGAGAAGCCAAGCTAATCACTCCACTGCCATTCCTCTGAAAATTTACAGAACATGTACTATTTTACAGCCAATGTAGTAAAAATCCCAGGTTAAGACTCCTTTTAAAATATGTGTTGGAGGAACTATAATACTGTAGCAGGATGGTAGTGGTTCCTTTGTTATTACAGATCCCTCACATCTTCAGCTGCAATTTTTCTTCAAGCATGCTTCTGACACATGCTTCTACGCAGAGACTGAACAAGAATATGCATGAATTTTTTCATGCTGCTGTCTGCATGGTT